GAGAAATGCTCTATTTGGTGGGATATTAAGGAAACTTTTTTTTGAGCTTTTACCAGACAATTTAACAATTGATTCGAAAGTGTACTGCATTCGAGTAAACAAATTGCGTAATATCATCAAACAGAAAAAGCCAGCCAGAATTGATAAAAAAAACCAGGTGTAGTGTTTTANTAAAGGTATAAGTTAGGAGTTCATGGAAAACTTTTTTGAGTATAAATTTCCAAGCTAATGGTAGACCTTCTGCATCCCTTGCATTTATACATGCCTCTTCCAGTTTGCATTTGTAAATTTCAATTTTCTCAGCGGTCATTGCTAATGTTGGGAGTGCAAGGGTTTGACAATCCTTTTTGAATATTCGTTTCATCCCATTTTTCTATCAATGGGTCTATGCCATCTGGCAGAGTATAGTTGTATTGGAACCTTTCCTGACGTTATATTTATTCCTTAAGCCTTTCTTTCAAATTTCTTGTTGTAATGCCAATATATTGGGTTGTTCAGAAAGTAATTTCGTTTTTTTTTTCATGGAAAAAAACACAATATTTTTGATGATGATATTTAAATTAGATTTCAATGCACATGTGGGAAAGATACTATTGGGTTGTTTGGAAAGTAAGTTCGGTTTTTTTCATGGAAAAAAACAAACTTACTTTCTGAACAACCCAATATTTCTTCATTCAATTCAACATATACTCACGTTAATCCTTTTCTTTGTCTGAATGGGTGCTCCTACATTACGTTAACTCTTGAACCAACTCAAAGCAAGAACCAGAATAACGATTTGCACAAGAGTTTGAACTTTTATACCTCCCACCATTGGGTACGACATGCAAACACATGGTCTTGGTTATTGACCAATCAACAGATATGATGGGGTAACACCCGTTTACAATACAATACGAAGGAAAGAAACAAAATAATACAGGTAGCCCTCGGTTTACGCCAGTTCAATTTACGCTGATTCACAATAACGCCGCTGCGCAATTCGCCGTTTCGAGGTGTAATTCCCTGNTTTCTTTCACCAAGAATGCAATTAATTGAAAGCTGAAAACTGTTACAACTCAAAATGTAACCCTCTTGAATTCAATAACAGAGTGTATTAGCATATTGCGAAACTGTTATATGTACGTCCCTGAGCCATAATAAGCCATTTAGAGATATAACCTTTATACATAAGATAGAACTCGATACAAGCATTCCCATAAGTACAATAACTAAAACATCGAAAATTTTGAGTTGTAACCCTCTTGCTCTGAGCAGTCGAAATATTGGAGCAAAGAATGTCACATCCTTGAAACACAAGTTTTAAAGGGTTTCTCTCCTCTATTCTGCATTCTGATTGGTCTTCTCTCAGCTCCCTGTGACAATTCAAAACCTTTTGGGACACAGGAGAGGTCATTATCAACACTTAACCTGATCCCAATCATCTAAAATTCCTCCAAACTTTGAAATTCTCCCTTGTAATTCCAGCCTTTTATTTTTCTTTTTCACAGAAAGAACTTTTATTGTTTTTGTGACACTTTAAGTCTTGCTTTGTTTTTTATTTCAAAAGGTAAAAGTTTAAATGTCCAACCAGATATTTGTCATCATAAGCAAAAAATTTTAATTTCCGCCCAGGCCCTCATACAGATACAAATCAACAAATATTTGTTAAATAAAGATATTCTGTTACAAGCAGTCATTAATTTTGATAGTGACAATATTATATTTATTTGATCTTGTAATTTTTTTCTTATACCTAATTTTTAATTCTATTATACAAACAGAACAAAGGGAAGTGGGGATACTATTACAAAAAAGTATCTCTACTTCCCATATGTACAATTGTGGCTATCTCATATTTACTATGCAAATGTAGCTAGAACTATTTCTACGATTATCAGCACAAAACCTTTCTCACTAATTTCTAGCCGTATTAACATAGTACTCCTGTTAATACAAATAGAAATTAGTGAAAAAGGTTTTGTGCTGATTATCTCATCATTGTCATCTCTTTATTTAAAATGGGAGCTGTATATTGTCAGGGTTCTTCTTTCTCTCAAACCTTCATCATTGATCACTCTTGTCATCCTTCTGCACTTACACATGAAAAAGAGTGTCTCTCCTGTCCACATGTCTTATATATACTACTTCCTTCTACTCCCCTGCTGGACTCATTGTCCTTCCAGGCAACATAATAGAGAGAGACAAAAGACAATAGAACATTCCAGAATTGGTACAAATGTAAAAGTCTATAATCAAACAAAATTTATATATAACATGATGAATGATTGTCACACTATATTCAAAGGTTTCAAATTAATGTATAATTGTTGAATGGTATCATTTTGTACATCTCTCATAAATGGATAAAGGATTTCCAAATCTTTCAATAAAGAATTTTTAATGGTAGACAGTTCTTCAACAATATGGCTAATTTTGCCAAACGTGAGTGAACTTGTCATTCTTGTTTCATTAGATTTATATTCTTTAAAACATGAATGGGCTCTTTTGTCCCAACTCCTACATCTGAACAATAATTCTTAAATCTATACATTAAATTTTATTTTTCTTTAAGAAAACTTGTTTTTTGTGATTGAACAACCATTACCATAACATCAATAGTCAGGATTAAAAAAAATTATCTGTTTAATTATGATTGCAACAATATTTTGATGGAATGCTATGGAAGCAAACATATAATAGCTGCAAAATGAAAATGTTATCAGTCTGTGAATAACTTTCCATGTAAATACTTCTCAATTTGAATTGTGAATATCAAACAGAATAATGAATATATATAATTTTGTAATTGTAAACTAATAATTTTCAATAAACAGATAATGATGGATAATTTTATAATTCAAAAACTATTATTGTAATTAAAAAAAATATAGAATGTGAGATCCGAAAGGCCCTGGGTCTAATTTGTGAATTTTTATTAAATATGTTTAAATATAGACACGAAATATTACTTCGTTTTTGTGAAAAAAATATTGTTTTAGACGTGGGAAAAACCAGATAACAAATGTTATTTCCTTTCATCGAAGAGAACATCCTCTGTTTTTCCGTATCTGGTTAAAAATCTCGCTCAGATGGGAAATGGTTACCCCTCATTCATCCCCCTTTCGTCCGTTCTCACGAAAGAGTTACTGGACGATGATTGGACGAAAATTTTGAAATAAAAGGGGAAATTAGTCAGAATTCGGGGAGTTCTTCGACAGATCCGAAGCATCTAAACTCCACGCAGTTTTCCTCCTGATGGCCAACGCCCAAAACGGAGTCCGATAGACTAAGTCCCGAGTCTACACTTAGAAGAAGTGATATTTTTATATTTTGTGCACGAATTGATCTCCCGTATGAAAGTAATATGAACCCTATCTACAAGGTGTCCTCTACCTACAGAAACGAAGACGACGACAACTAACAGGTCGTATGTTTAGAATCATTTTGTGAGCTCTCTCTCTCGATCGCGCATTAGCATAGAAAAGGTCGTAGCCTCTAGTTTGTCGCTAAATGGTTGTAATCTAATTTTTGTATTCGTTTGTTTGAGATTTATTAAATTTACTCTTGTTTTATTTTATAAGAATGTCTCCTCAATTTATTCCGAATCAGATCGCAAACGCGTGTTAATCCGCGTATAATAAGATCGATTAACTGGTGTCAAGGAATCCTGACGAACGTCTGAACTTCGCAGTTCGGATCAACTAGCAGTTATCGCTCTCCTATGAAATATTTAAGATCAGATCTAGTGATCTGCATCCTAGAGAACTAGTCCTACCGACTAGTGCCCGTAAGTGGCGTAGATTGAGCTCTGCGTCCTTGGCTACTCTCACAAGAAGTTAAAAGATCATCTTCATAACTTATATTTTTTCATCAAATTACAGATCTCAGATTTCAACTTATAAATACTAGTAAATAAATAAATATATGGTTATTAACTTTTGAATATTTATTAAAAAATTTTCATGTAAAAGACATTTTCAAACAACATAGTTTGCCATTTATGTTTTGAAGATGATATCACATAAATGACCCTCATTTATGCAAAAGAACTCTTCACATCTTCAAACTCTATCATGAGGAGGCACAACATATTCTCAGATATGTTACTGTATGCATGATAAATTTTCACCTTAAGCATTTCAATTTTATGGACAAAGAGTATGGTATACAAAAGACATCCACAAAATATTAAAACTAAAGCAAAAAAACTGCCATGGAATCAATGACATACCCAAAAATATGTGGTACTACTCTATGCATGCCATACTTTGAAAATGTAAAGATTTTCTTTTGCATGAATAATTGTCACTTGAGTGATATCATCTTCAAAACATAAATGGCAAACTATGTTGTTTGAAAATGCCTTGTACGCAGTGGTGATATTCAGCGGGTTCGCACAGGTTCGGCCGAACCCGTTGTTAACATTTTCAAAGTTTTCCGAACCTTGTTAAACATATGTAACATTTCTCAATGGTTTGATTCTTTTAAAAATATTAAAATATACGTATTATACTCTGTAACACTACTAAACTAGAGCCTTCCGATGCACTATTTGAGCGAAAAAAAAAATTGTTAAGGAAAAATTTTCTGTTACGAACCCTTTGTTAAATATTTCGAATGTCATCCCTGCTTGTACATAATAATTTGCTAATAAATATTCAAAAGTTAATAATATAATTGTGTTTTTTGTAAATATAATTTTCTGTTTTCCTGCTGGACCTTGTATTATTTTATTACTATTAACATCAAAAGTTCTAAGTCAAAAGTTATGCAAAAAATTCTGCATGAAGTATTTTGCAATGCTTTTTTAATGAACTGATGTGAAAAAATTTATAATTCAGCAAAATTAAGAATTCATATACAAGAATTTTTAATATACAATAAATTTGTATATTAAAAATTATTATTTTAATTATCATTTACTTTTGGTAAACATTTTATCCATGTGTCTAAATCTTGAATCAATAATAATAAATTAATTTTTAAAAATGCATAGTGCTTTACATTATGCTATATACCTTAATTCAGGAGGTGAAAGTGAGCGGGATGTGGATTCTGGCATTCGCCTAGGTGATCTTGTTCTAGACATTCTCATTTCACCTGCAACCGTTGATCTTGACCGACCACGTGACATTATTTCATCAACAGGAATAGTACTTTCTCTTCTTGTAGTATGTCCATAAATCATATCTTCTCTTGAAACTATAATATAAATAAGGAAAATTAAGTAATAATAGAAAAACATTGTCATTATTTGATCTTAGTAATTATTGTTCTTTAATGTTTAAACTACTAAAATTAATTTTTATATTTTACAATTAAAAAGGAATAATTTTCTGTGATAAAACAAGATAAACCAGTTTGTATTTAAACATAGATCATAAATAAATATCCAAAAATGTAGAAATAAGAAAATAATTTATTAAAAATTAAAATTTCTTGAAACAAGATAAATCAGTTTAAATGTAATCAAATTTTTTTCACATTTGAATAAAACACCAATTAAAAGCTCTAATTAATATTTTACTTTCTAATATTTTTTAAATTAATTATGTTAACTTCATTGATGTAGAATTAGAACAAATGATAACTATAATATAAAGGTTTTTCAAAGTAATTTTGAAAAAATTTATAAAAATTTAATTTACAATATTAATATACATGCATCTTTGTATTCAAGTATTTTTTAAAGATCTATATTAATCTGTAACATCAATATAAACAACTTTTTCATGAATGTATTGAAGCTCTACTGTTTAAAAGTTAACAATGACTTCTTTATAAACTATATAATAATTTATTTGAATCATTTACAAGATTTTCATCCAAATCTCATTTAATATTCTCAACTAATTTCCAAAAACGATAGATAACCAATGCTACTTCTAATATTACATTCTTCATCAGTTTTAACTTACTAGGTTAAAAAATTATTTTCCAAATTAATACTGCATTTCTTAATTTAATAACTTTTTGAAAAATAGTATAACACAGAAATAGTAATTAGCAAACCATTTTGAAAGAAAAATATTAAACATCTAATATAAAAAGTAGGGTTTCTGAAACGGGATTCCGGGATCCCGGTTGTTTTTTTAACCCGGGAAATATCCCGGGAAATCCCGCAAATTTCTTAAAAATTCATTTTTTTTCTTATTTTGTGTTAAGGTTGAGGAGTTTTGCAAATAGAAAGCATAATTAACTCATTCACTGCCAGAATACATTTGTATTTATTAATTTTAAACCTACCTATTAGTTTTTTTAAATTTTTGCTCGTTATAGCATGTCACAAATGGTCAATAATCAATATATAGCTTATTTGTGGCATGACTATAAAAATTCTTTACTTGTCGGAACCTGTAATATCTGGAATAATTGTGCTTACGCTGTCTTGAGTTTTAACCATGCCCAGTAGCTTCAATAAATGCCTGACGCCAGATTGTGCAAATTGGGCAAGGATACAAACGAGTACAAAGTCTGCAAGTATGAAGTTTTTCTTCATAAACCTGATTATTAAAGCCAAATGAATTGCCGAATTATCGAGCTCTAAGCTTGATGCCGCTATTAAAGCAGCCAAGGTAGACAAATCAAGAATACTAGAGAGCGAAAGAAGTACTACAATCTCGAAAACGAACTCGAAATCTTCCAGGCTACAGGTGAAAAAACACATAATATCTGTCTTCTCTTAAATGCATTAAACACTATTCCAATCACATCAATTGAATCGGAAAGGGCATTCTCGGTGGCAAGACTTTTCATTACTAAAATAAGAATTAGAGTGAGTTATCGGAGTATTGACCATCTTTGCTTTTTAAAATCTTATAAAAGTTTGCAATATTTTGTATTATATTTTATTTAAAAAACGAAAATTACCTTCTAAATTAGAAGTTCATTTTTTTAATTTTTAACTCAATTCAAAACATTTTTTTTTTTTGTTGTTGTATGCAGTTTCCAGCAAACTTTAATTAATTTTTTTCTATTTGTGAAAATTTCTACGTTATTTAAAGGTAATTTTTATTATAGGCCTATAGACCTAACACAGCATTATTAATATGATTTTGGAGGTTACAAAACTTTAAAATTACTTTAAAAAATGGAAAATAATTATATCATTTGATTTCAAGATATTTTGTATACCTTAAAAATAATTAATTCTATCCCGGGATTTCCCAGGATCCCGGGAAACAGTTCACTTTTATCCCGGGATCCCGGGACAAGCAAAATACCGGGAAATGAGAAACCCTAATAAAAAGTAAGAAAAATAACAAAAAAAAACAAGTACAACAAAAATATGTTAAAATATTATTGATGCAAAGATCAATGAAATGCTGAACATATTTTGTATTATAATAATAGAAAGAAAATAAAACAAAGTATAGATTGTTTGCACAACACTTGCTTCAATCTTTAAATTATAATAAGGTTAAGGAAGATTTCTTGTCCTGAAAGTTTATAAGTCTAAGTTTGTTGTTAAATATCCTATATTCAAGAAAAAACAATTTTTTTATATCTTTGTTTCTTAGTCCAAGTTCAGAATTTGGACAGAGCAAAACAGTTAAAGGTTTAATATTTTCATTGTCAATTACAGTAGAGCATCGATTATCCGACCACTGATTAACCGTCACATCGGTGAACCGACTGTTCTAGTCGGCAAAGTTCAAATGTCCGCTAGTGATGTGGCACTACAATATTTGGCTATGTCTTGGCTACTTTAATATTATTTTTGTTAAATTTTTGCGTGTTTTAGCTGGCANAATATATTAATATATTACACTAATAATGTATTTTTTTCATTGTTTTCGGTTATCCGATTTTTTCAGTTATCCAACCAACCTGAGTCCCCAATTGAGTCAGATAATCGATGCTCTACTGTGTTCATAAATGCCAATGCATAAAGGATACATTTAAAACTTAAAAATTACAGTAAAAGAAACAAAATAATATAAAACTTTATATTCTTTTTTTATATTTATAGTTGTATTTTTATTATTATAAATTTTTATAGCAATTTAATTTTAACTATGTTCCAAATATTCAAGTTAATCTTATTTGAAATTAAACTAAATAATCAAATATTGACAAATTTTTCTGAGCTATTAACAGACTCTGGATTAATTTATTATAAAATTTAGATTAAACACAAATGTGTTACTATCTAAATATTTTTGCATAGTATAATTAAAAAGATTAATTAATTTTATTAATTAAATTTTTATAAATATCTAAGAAAAAATCATCCTAGAGTAGGATGTGAATTTGCAATTATAAGCTATATTGATGATTCCAGCCAAACTGATAACTCATTAAATGTACAAAAATTCAATTCATTTGAGAAAATATTTTGTTATAAAAAATGTATGCAATAAATCTGTTACAAAGGTACAAAATAAACAATATGGTTAACCCCATCAGGTCACAAGCTGTTGTGAACTAATGGTTTGGAATGTTTAGAATGTCAATTAGAAAGATTGAGCTTTGACTCCAATACTCGTAGACATGACAAAATTTAGAATAAGAAAATGTAGCATTCCTTTAAAAGAAAATTTATTGTGTTGTAAGTAATAAAAACACAAAAAAATTCTTAGATGTCAGAAAAGAAAATATCATTTCATAAGATAGGAGCCAAAGTTAAATCAATACTTGAAAATTAAGTCAAATGGAGGTGTCAAATTGATTAACACAGAGCAAACTTTCTTGCATCTGATCTGGTTGTCTAATTTTACCTGGAAACCTATGTTCTGCTGTACTATACCAACTTCCAGCCAGTTTGCCCCAGGGCCACTGATCATCATCCAATCTTTGTCCAATCACAGTCAGGTGTCAGATTGTGCAGATAAAAGATTGTGACCAGAACTTTCTATGTATCCATTCAAGAGAAGAAATTCATAACCAGAATTGTGTAAGCATTGTGAGTTCTAAAGGTGACTATTTCAGTGTCGACAACCACACTCACATCACTATTGCACCCTTTATTTATCTTGAAAAGAAGAAGGATTAACCTTTCCCTTCTCTCCTTCACACTAGTGACAAAAATTATAATTAATACAAAACAAGTCAGAAATATGAGTAACTTGTTTTAAGTACTTTAGAATGGTCCAAAAAAAAAGCTCCAAAGATTTTGGTTTTGGTGCCACAATATGTATCAAGTAGATGGAAAGTTAAAACATTATTCTTATATCATTTCTCAATAAAACTAATTTATTGATCAAGGGACATAAATGGGCACAGATTATGCAAATTTTGTATTAATAGAAGATAAATATTTTTTATAATACAATAAAACTTCTCCAAGTCCAAGTCAAGTTCAGTAACTCAAATATTTCTTTAACTTGAAAAAATGAAGCAATTGATAGGTCTCAATGGATTAGCATAGGAGTTTAACATCTCTAACTTGAATCTCTTTAACTCAAATTTTCTCCAAGTCAAAGGTTTTCAAGGTCCCTCGACACTGATTTATGTTAGTTTTAACTTCCCTGACTCAAATTTTAATATTTATTCTATCAAAAGTAATCCTAATTATCATATTTCCATGAAATTTTCAGACAGTTAGTTGTATCTACTGTCCAACACTCATTTGCAGACAATGAAGTTGATAAAAAGACAACAATATTGGTTATTTTATGAAGTTGATGTTTATTTCAGTAGTAGTAATGCCACCTGTGAAGAAACATATACAGGTATACCTCGAGTTGTCGTTTCCGATTATACATCATTTGTCAAAAAAGTATATGGAAAAATAAAAATCAAGTTTAAGTCATTTTACTCAACTTTATGTCTGTCCACTACAAATATTGAAGTCGTAATATCACTAGAAAAACATTTAAAGCACATAAAATCATATTAAAATATATACATTTACAAGTACATACTGTATTTACAGTACATGCATTCATAAATTTAGATTATTTTTTTCTGTACTATATTAAAAACTAAAATTTATTTGTTTGTAAGCTTAAAATAGATCCTTATTAACCATATATTATTAAAAATGCATTAATAAATAAAATACAGAACCAGGAATGGTAATTTATGGACAAGTGACAAGTGACAAGCCTAGTGACAAGAAGATTCGGAGACAAGTAAATTCGACTTACATCATTTTTCGACTTACGTCGCCTCTCCTGGAACCAATTACCGACATAGGTAAGGTATACCTGTACTTCCATCTTGTGTCCTCCTTGATGCAGAACATTTTTTTTCATAGG